ATTAATAATCGTCATCCTTAACTTTTAACATTCGAACATTTAAAATCTAAAACTGACTTCGAAATTTTCAATTCTAACTAGATTTGTGAATTTGTGGAATAACATCCATCCGGATATTCGAAATTATTTCATTATATCTAATAATTTTGTTTTGTTTAAATGTACCCTAGGTTAATTTTTATTATTATTATTATTATTATTATTATAATTATTATTATTTTATTCCTTTTTTTTCTGGGAGTAGCACGTCATCTCTAAGATAAAATGACAGTGTTTCCGCTTTTGCTGGTCCCTTTTTGTTATTTGGCTTGCCAGAATGAACAATATAAAAATAGGCCCTAATTAAATAAAACAATACAGTAATAACAACGACTTATAATTGTTAACAGTCATAAGTCCTTGTTAACAATAAAAATATAATCATAACCATTATATTATTATAATTACTATAATATATAGTGATTACAATGATGATATAATATCAATAATAATTAGATAATAAATACACTGATAATAATAATAATTATTACAAAAAATAAATAATTAACAAGTTATACATACTTTTCCCGACACAAAAATAACTCGTAGGCCTATTTACTGTTCAACTTGAAATCCAATACAGTACACTATTTCCATTTTCTCATTCCATGCTTACAATCGACTCGTTGCATAGCAACAAGCTTACTTTCAGAAAGTTACAAGTAAACGGATGCGCAGCAGACAAGCGCGTGCACGACAAAAAGCAAAGAATATTGAAAGTTAAATTGCAGTAGAAAACGCACGGACTGTACTGCACGTAAAAATATTGAAACCGATTAAAAAGGAAGGCAAGGAAAATAATGATCCACATAATATAAAATTACAATTTTATGGAATTAATACAAGGCATTTTGTTGTACTTACACTTTTCCCAGCATGGCTTTAACACAAGAGGTTTTCCCGGAACCCTCTTGACCAAGAAACATCAGTCTTGAATTAACAACTGTTATTTCACCATTTTTAAGTGCATCTTTGAATGCTTTGACGGCATCGGGACCCCTGGCTAAAATCTCTGATGGAGTTGATAGTTCTAATTTATATACAAACATAACAACAATATTTAGTATTTTCTTTTTTAATTATATTTTTGATTATTTACGATGAAATAAACCTTTTTACGATAATCAAAATGTGGAAATAATCAATTAATTGTGTAGAATTTCAAATTAAAAAAATAAATGTCAAACGTAATACGGTTGTATGATAAGTACTGTTTTAAATAGAGTTTGAAGATTTGATTCCACAGATATTTAATAAGTCAATCAACGTACTTTCAAGTAATTCTTTTAAATCTGGTTTCTGTTCACTTCTCGTGGTTTCTTCGTATCCTTTACATTCGTTTTCATCATACAAATCAAGAGGCGTCCTTCCAAACTGCAATAACAGACACGAGCACGCGATGATTCATTCCATTGCAAGACAATTAAAAACCAAATAAACAGAAAGCAGTGATATATTTTAGTTAAATACTCAAAGATAATAATAAAACTAATATTATATCTAACGAACACTCGACAATGTTATCATCACGACATTATAATTATGTTGTAAATTACCATCCAATTAATTGATAATAAACATTATTAAACTCATTCTTATAAAACTTTTTAAAAATCAACATTATTACTGGTATGAATTTTTTGTTTTTGATTTAATTTTGTTTGAATTTATATTTATTACGTTGGTTTTAATTAGTCAAAATGTTTCAAGTAGTTTCATATAAAGTTGTTGTATTAAGGTCATTGACTGATATTCTTTTGATGCATTTCATTTTTCTGTACATTACATTATCTTTTATTGTCACCGATGCGCCAAAGGTGATATTGAGAATTGCGACTTCCTTGTGTTGCTCGTGCGTCAGCCTCCTCAGTAGACAGTCATGTAGTGGTGTGCGTCCAATCTGCAATGAAATGATAATCAACGTCAAGTTTGTTGAACACGCACAACACAAGAATATCAATTAACAAATATTACGCAAACGTAAAAGTACCTGAAATAATTTATAACTACCAGAATTTATTAACGCCTACCGGTAATAATAGTGAAAATTCAGTAATATTATAATAATCATAATAATAATATTGATGATAATAATAATAATTTTGATATTAATTATTATTTATATTGTTAATGATAATTTAAAAAAACAATAATATGGCAATGCAAGAATAAAGTAGGTACCTGAATTAATGATGATGGTAATAAGTATTATGAAATTAATAATTATAGGATAATACAGCACCTGTACTGTATTAATATTAATGGTAATAATATTGACAAAAATGTAGTAATGGATTGTGGTTTATTTTTGTTGTATTGATAAAACAAATAATAATGGTCAAGGTAGTCTCCCCTACTGAGCGGAAAATATTTCTCAACCAGTTGTAAATAAAAAATCACATCTCAGTATTATAACCAAGAATATTACTGAATTAGAACGTGATGTATTGAATGTGTTTGTGAATGAATTAATGTTAATTTGTTAGCAAAAAATAAAGTGTTGTTTTCTTCTACTGTACTCACTCTGTCTTGCGTGTTAATCTTCTTGTTGGTTTTTTCCAACACGCGTCTCATTGCTGACACGCGTGCGTCGGCCGCCAAGAAATGGAGAATAGTGGAACCATAATGCTACAAGACAAACGTAGAATATGATGAGAAAGAAATAATAAACAAAAACAAGAAACTATACACACACCACATATCAACAAAACATAACAACTCACAAACATCACACATACATTACTTATTACATTCATCATTAATATTAAATACTAATTACATTATTTAATATTTTTAAAATGTGGTTTTTTAGGCGAAATCGCGCAAAAAAATATTTGTATCAATTGGCCTATGTTTCACACACAATAGTAAAATATTTCCAAATCGGGATTTTTAGCGACAATACTTTTTGTGAAAAATATCAATTTTATTGTCACCAATTTATTCAGTAAACTGTATTAAACAGAACAAATCCAAACATGACTATTTTTGTAAGTGTAAAATGTATTTTTTTCACAATATTTCATATGAATTAGTGATAATGGCCAGAGCATAGGCTTTTTCTGTGTTGTAAAAAATGTCAAATAAATCATGAAATAAAAATCCCATTTTTAACCCAACATGAAAAAAATCACAGTAATTGACTTTGAGTTATTTGTATGTCGTATGATGTGTACACATGCTGTGTGCTAGACTGGGTTCCAGTCCCTAATCTTTGTCTTAATCAGTTGAAATTCTTAAGAATAAATCGATTTTGGCACAAATGGCGTTCCATATTACTTATTTGCATGGCGTTCCATAGTATACTTTTTCTGGGATTAATTCTCATCAAAAAAGTTTCTCAACATAAACTGACGCTGGTCGCGCTTTCCGAAATGCGCTAATGTACTACGAAAATCGCATATATTAAATATGCTAATTATGCTTCCCCTCGGCCCAGCTAATGATAAGGATTCAGGTGCAGGTCAGCTCAGCTTGTGCACCGCGAGGATTGCTAGGCCCATATAACAATTCGTCCAACCATGAAGGTAATATTTAAACGCACTTTCACAACAGAAGTGTGCTGCATGGAAAGTAACCTACGGAAGCCCGTTAGTGTCAACAGTGAATAAAAATTTCAAATCAGTTATCTGGCGGCCGCCAGTTAATTATCTGGCGGCCGCCAGTTAATTATCTGGCGGCCGCCAGTTAATTATCTGGCGGCCGCCAGTTAATTATCTGGCGGCCGCCAGTTAATTATCTGGCGGCCGCCAGTTAATTATCTGGCGGCCGCCGCTTAATTATCTGGCGGCCGCCGCTTAATTATCTGGCGGCCGCCGCTTAATTATCTGGCGGCCGCCGCTTAATTATCTGGCGGCCGCCGCTTAATTATCTGGCGGTCGCCGCTTAATTATCTGGCGGTCGCCGCTTAATTATCTGGCGGCCGCCGCTTAATTATCTGGCGGCCGCCACATAATTATCTGGCGGCCGCCACTTAATTATCTGGCGGCCGCCACTTAATTATCTGGCGGCCGCCACTTAATTATCTGGCGGCCGCCACTTATTTATGGGTACCCAGGTTGCGTTATAGCATTATCTTGATGTAGAACAGGCCATTAAAGAGCATGATTGGTCTAGCATTTAATATACGGTAGCATTTAGCCTAGCTATTCATTTTAGCTACAGCTTGTAATAGCTT